AGGGCCAAAAGCCACCAGTGATAAAGCTCTCAACCAGCCTCGAGTCTGATGGACCATAGTGGCAGCTCCCTTGTCCCAGTTTTTAGGACCCGGACCTGCTCCTTCTGGTCAGATGGCCCCAGGGCTTTTGCAGCCTTTCTAATCTCAGAGGACTCTGGAGGAGGTGGCTGATTGGCACAATGCAATGACAGTAGGTGCTGCTTTGCTCCAGGGGCTGCTGGATCCCTTCAGCAGGTACGTGTGACTGCAACTACAAGCACCCAAAGCACCGCGCTTCTTCCTCTGCCCAGCAGATGCCCATTCAGGAAGGCAGGTGGGAGCAACCCCACCCAAGCTGTTCAGGTGCCTGAAGATTCAGGCAGAAGTTTCTAGGACATCTGAAGCTCTGCTAAGGAGCACACTCAGTCCCATCATAGCCTTGGAGATCCAACCAAGCAGGCTTGGAAATGAGGAGAAGCCATCCCACATCAAACCCCGCACAAGGGTAATTTCCGTTGCACAACAGCTCAGGTGCTAGAGACCTCCTGCAAGAAATAGGTGATGGTCACCCACACCTTCCTCAGCCTGGACTGGGAGCTAGAGGTTGATCCCAGGTCTCATAAAAGAGTCTTCGACATCACATAGCAAGGGATGGCTGTAAATACCACCTTTAATTTAATGTTTTGTACTCTAAGTCACAGGAATAAAGAGAAAACCATTAATGGGCACTTGAGACACAGCTGCAGATGCCAGCCTAGCACCCAAGCTCACACCACGTCCCAGTACCCGAGCTCGCACCATGTCCTAGCATCTGAGTTTACACCGCGTCCCAGCACCCGAGCTCGCACCACGTACGGCACCGCCGTCAGCTCCGCTCCCTCCACCAGCACTGTCTGCACACTCACATTTCACACACGACAGCTCTGATTTTACAAGCCGACCTCGATTAGCACAGCTGTAATTTGGGAAAGCTGCAGGAGGAGGTTCCGACTTCCCCCTTTCCTGCATCCCCTGGCTCCAGTTAACCGCCTGCAGGTAAAGCGAACCAGGACTGTTTACACATCCCAGTCCGTACCTACACTGCAAGGAGAAGCAAAGCACCGACCACCACGTCGGCTTTCGGCAGCTCAGAGACCCCGAGCAAGAGCGATGGCGGCGCTCCGGCCAGCTGGTCTTTTGAAGGAGCTGAGCAAAGATGAAGGAACTGCACAGAGAGGGAACGGCAGCGTCTCTGCTCCCCAGCGCGGGCACTGCACATCTGCCCCGCGGGAAGCCGGGCTTCTCCCCAGTGCCAGGACGTGAGAGCTCAGGAGGGCAGCAAGATAAAAACCCCGCGCTTTTTATTGGTTATTCCTAGCAAAATCTCACAGCTAGGGCCTCCTGAAGGACCGCAGTATTTCTGGTACTTCGCATATGCAGGAAAGCTGCCTCCTTCTCCTCCAACTGCTGTTTCAACTGTTAAGTACCAACAGCAAAGCCTGCAAATTGCCCAAAACACCAAAATCTCAGCTGTCTTCTTGACTGAGGTCCTTCCCAAGCTGTTCTCCCAAAGATGTGGGCACACGATGCATCCCATGGCAATGCAGGACAAGATCATGATGATGATTAAGGAGAACAGCAGAAAATTTTAAGCCAGACTTTCCGAGCGTTGACTTTTTTCATCAGCAGTGCCCAGGAACCCTGGCTACGGGAGACAGGTCTGTGCTGTGCAGGACAAAAGGACAGCCCTGGATGGAAAAGAAGTTCATCAGACAAAAGATACAGATGGTGGAACAGAAGGAAAACACATGGCAAGTTCGCCAACAGTGCAGTTGCATCAGGGACAGCATTTTTCAGGAGACACCAGACAAATACTGGCCATGTCCTGGTGCTGCCCCGGGACAGTGGATGGACTCTCCAGCCAGCCCTGCTGCCTGTGACCAACAGGAATGCTGTTAAGACAACATCATTAAGAAAAAACACCACCCGGAAACGTCATCAACATGCTACCAGGTCAACTGCTCCTGAGCTGAGCAAGAGGTGCGTACAGAAAGCGAAGCAGAGCAGAAATTCAGCCATGAGCTACTGCCTCTCCCTGTGGTCCAACGTCCCATGGCTCTGGGTGCAGCTGCCCATGGCACGAAGGGAGCGCGCAGACATCCCTGCCACGCGCAGCAGGCCGCCAGCCTTGAGGCTTTCCCACGGCCATCCACAAGACATTCCGCCAGCCAGCTTGGGGGTGGATCTGCCTCGGGTCTGAAGCAGATGCAAAAATGAACATGCCTCTTCAAGAAGCTGCTGTGGTCAGTTCCAGGGCAGAGGGTTGCTAGAACGTGTTCCTCTCTCCAAGAGATTTTCTGCAAGGAGAGGAGGAATTGGATGGTTTGAAGGGTATGTCTGGGAGGAGCTGGCAACTGCTGAAGACACGGGCAAGTTAGGGAGGTCATTCCAGAGGAATGTCAATAAATATTTTTGTAATATCACACCACCCTAAGGCCAGACACCTCTAACCACCAGGAATACACCCCGTCTATGTGTCATGGCCCACACAGCTGACCTGACCTGTCCCTGCCCAATGCCGGAGAGCTCGCTCCCAGGCCAGCGGCACTGCAGGAGGAGCAAGGGGAGACTCCCACAACCAGGCAAGGAGGGCAGAGCTCTGGGAAAAGCTGTCCTCACTACTAAGAAAGGGTGGTTGTCCCAGACTACGTAGGACAACCGTGCTGCAGAAACTTGGCAGTGATTCTGATTGTTGGTCATATTTTACTTCTTCTGTCTGCAAAGCCGGAGGGCTCTGGACAGGACGAATGACACAGGACCAAAACTACACCGTTTTGAACTTACTGCCTGATAGAAAGTGTGTCTCTGCAACGTGCTGTAGGTAGAGCCTGATGCTCCACTGTCACAGGAAGGTTTTGCCAACATGAGCGTGGAGCAACTGATCTGCATGACTATCCGTTTCGTTGCTACAGCTTCATTACAACATGTGTCACATCTGGAAGGGTTTTTGAATGCCTAGCTCCTGAAGCCCTGTGATCGCAGAAAGATCTCAGCAGTCTTGGTCATTTTCACAAGTTCCCAATCTTCCTGGCTCCAGAGTAAAGGTTGAAAAAGGATTTTAAAAGACAAACAGGAATAACCTTTGTTTTTTTTAGCAGTTTCAAAATTTGACTGAGTATGATTTTAAGTCTGGCTCCAGGAATGAGTATTTTTATCTGGCAAATCCATGGTGACCAACGCAACTGTGAAGTCTAAATTCACGTTAAGATGCTTGTTCTCTGGTTGCATGGTACCATGTCACCCCTGCCGTGGGCCACGCGGGACGAGCACTGGACCTCTGTCATTTGAACAGCTTAGAACAGGGCTCCCAACTCACTGCACCTCCTGAGCATGGGGGGCAAGCGGGCAATACCTGCTGTGCCACATCTGGATGGCATACGGAGTATGTACACCAGAGTTCCAGATAAGGAACTGGGTTTTTGTGGCCAATGTTTAATCACAGTTTCATTAGCCTTGGAAAAAGAACAGCCCGTTCCCTGCGCACGAGCCGTCAGGAGGCTGGTCCTGCAAGGGCTTCCCTCTGGCTGTTGTCTGACCTCTTCTTCCATCTTGACAACCTTCCCAATTACAAGCCTCCAAGACAGCAGGAACGCACTCAGATTTCTAAGAACTACTCAGGACACTTGGAATTGCTCAATCAAAGAACTGGCGCTCCCGCCAGAACTGTGTTTTACTGCAGAACGCCACACACGTGCGGGCACAGAGACTTTGCACAGCCCGGGTCATGGCTATTTGTGCACAAACATGCCTGGACGCGCGCGGATTTGCAGGGCCTGTTTGGGGAGACGTGCCAGACACAAGAGTCTTGAACTTATTCCTTCATTTTCCCTCACAGCCTATTTCCAAACAGCCTTCTGAAGACAAAAGGCAGCAAACAACTGCAGGACCACAGAGTCAGAGGTGTTTACACACCACAGGTCGGCCGCAGAATGTCGCACGAGCAGGGTGACACACCAGAAGACCTCCTGAGCGCCTCTCCTGGCCGCGATCCCCACTGGGGCTGACCCAGGGAGGAACACAGAGGCCAAGGGAGATGACTTGGATGCGGCTCACGGCTACTCGATGACAGAGGCAGCAAGAGTCTACCAGTCTGACAGCTCCTCGATGCATCCCTCTCCACCCTTCTGGCTCAAGGGGACATCTCAAGTTTTCGTAGTGAAGAAAGTATTGAGTAACTAACAAAGGACATGCAGGTTTTATTATTCCTGGCTGGCAGTCAGGATGTTCTGTTATATAAAAGAATAATAATAATAATAAAAAAATCAATATTTGTGGTCTACATATCTAGCTGGCATTTGTTCTGGATGTTTGTTCAGTGCTTCTTGTACCAACATTCTCTTCAATGCTGATAATTAACCCCACACCAAATCGTGTCGCAGAACGTCCTCGGTAACCGGATGCAGGCAGCGAAGCCGCAGCGTCCAACCGCAGCCTCACCGCACGGAATCCCCGCTCTGAAAGCACCGCTGCCAGAGCACCAACACCCCGAGCACCCACGGTGAGGGCAAGCTGACTCACTGACCAACCTCAGATCAAGATCAAGGCGCTTTTCCAAGGAAAACCGTTATGCCAAGCACAGGATGGTGCGCGAGACAGCCAGTTCATCCACTGTTGATCTTTCAACCGGCACAAGCATGGCTGACCTACACTAGTCCCCAGAGAAGGACACGCTTCATTTTCCCCAGAGCCAAGAGGAGAGGGAATTCAGGTCCACACGCTGCCTCTGTCTACCGCTGCCTCTCCTCTGAAGAGACGCGGCTTCCCAGAAGTAAAGGTGGATCTCCCAGAGGTCTGAACCTGGGATGGGAATACTCAGTCCAGAAAGGCTGAGGTCAAACCTCTGTGTTTCTCACCTAGCCAGGGGCTCCAGCTGACCATCAGGACACACATGGATGGGACTTACTGCAGAGCACCTCCGTTTCATCAGGATGCCGTGGCACGAGGCCAACTCGCTTTCCATCAGCCGAGCAGTCTGGATTTAAGGTCCGAGTCCGTAGCCACGCCGGCTACGCACGGCACTGAAAACAAAGCCTGAAGCTGCTGGCACCTTCGCCACAGCAGAGCCGCCCACTCACAACAAGCCCTTCGAGGGCAGCGGGAGGCCCGCGCGCTGCCCAGCACTCCGCAGGGCCCGCAGCGGCGGCGTCAGGCTGCCACACGCTCTCGCCACAGCCAGGACACCCTGTTCCTTCGACACAGACCACAGCTTTGTTCTGGGAATTGTTTTGGACTCCTACAATGGATCTGACTACACAGAAGACAGCGGCCTCAGCACCCACAGACGGGTTCAGCACACGAAAGCAGAGGGTTACTGCCAGATTTCACCCAGACCAAAGCAGATCTGCTCAGACGTGCCAAGGACCAGACCAGGTGGCAGAGCACCACCCTCTCACCACTAATGGCACATCAGATCACAGGAGAAGTTGGCGCTTGGTGCCCTCAACACACCTTGGCTCCAACCCCTGGCATTTCCCAGCCAGCCCTTTTTTCAAGTCCTCAACAACGATGAATAGAAACCCAGAAATTTTATTCAGGATACACCCAAGACAAAGCAGATGAACAAGAAGAAGAAATTCATGGAAAAACAAATCTCAAAAGTATAAGAAGAGGGAACACATGCATCGAGGAAAGCAAGATCTTCAGCAAGGGGTGGCAGACCAAGACCTAAGCGAGCCACTTGCCGTGAAACTGGAGCCTGGGTGTCTTTTGTAAACAGTCATACTGCTGACTCTCTCTTTTCTCTGTTTTTTTGGAACCGTTCCACCGCTACAAAGGTTTGAAGCCTTACAAATTAAGCCATTCTGAAGGCACAGCGTCGCTGGCGATGTTTTCCATCAGCCCTCTCCAACTGCATTGTAAACAATCGCTTCCTGCTCCTGTTGTGTAATGAGTCCAAGACAAAAACAAGTTCTATTTACTTTCTCCAACCCAGCAATCCCAGCCCTGACCCAGAGCAACTGCGTGGGCTGCCAGGCCTCCTCCTCCTTCCCCTCCTCCTGGCATGGCTCTGCGGACCAGTCAGCTGAGAGAGCAAAAGGGCAGAGGAAAGTACGCAGAAACAAGGGGCACTTGCAGTTGCTGGCACCAAACTCCCTCGCCCCCCTCCTTCCCTCCTGGGCTATTTTAATCCCGCTTTCTTTCAACTCCTCTGAGCCTCGGAGTTTGTTTTCCTCTGGCTCAGACAAACTCTGAGCAATCTGCGAAGGCAAACCAGACTCCTCCTGACCACAATAAGCTGAATCCCACCAGTTTACACAGTAGGTAGTTTACTAAAGGTTTGATTTAGGACTTCGCCGCTTTTAAAAGGCAGCCTAGGAGCACACAGCGAGGTGCCCAGCAAGTATCCCAGGGCACCAGACTTGATTTTACTCGTTTGTGCACGTTGGCTCGGCTCAGCCGCTGTGGCAGGAGAAGGCTGGGCACGCACTCAAGGCCGGAAGGGTTGCGCCAATAAATAACCAAATATTTACAGTTTCTAAGAGAGCAGCGAGGAGCTGGATCAGCAGTTCAGTAGGAAAAAGCTCCAATTTTAAAACTTACCCAGGAAACACACCCTCACCTGCGTTGGGACAGTATCCGACACAAGATGAGGCCTTGTTTGGCCGGAATACACTGATCTCAGCGTTACTGGGGCAGTAAAGCTCAACCAACACCCCCCTCGGGACGTGACCTGCCAGAAACACGCACCGTTCCCAACGCCAGCTGGCAAAGGTCAGGAGAAACAGCAGCTGATGTTTCATCTGATTTCACTATCAGCTCTGGCAACCAAAGCTGGCACCTTCTACGGCAACCTCCTTGCCGTGTGAGTTTGCCCACCGTGCACACGTAACAAAGGGACGGGTATGATGGGAGCATCGAGTCTTCTGCATCTCGAGAACAATGGGAGAGGGTGTATCAAGTTCGTGGAACAACGCTAACTCCAGCGCTAACGAGACAGGGGGATGGACGGTAATTTTTGGAGAGGTCATTGTGCTCTGACAGTCCATAACGACCGGACTGGAGGCAGGAGCGAAACAAACATTCACCTCTCGACTGCTGCCCCCGCCCAGCAGATTCCAGAGCCCCTGGGAGCCGCCATCCCACCGCGGTCACCCCGGTTCCTGGACGGGCACACCGGCAGAGGAGGGCGGTGGCTCAGGGAACGCCGCACCGGGCCCCGCTGCGCCCCGCTCCAGCCGTGCTCGTCCCGGAATAACGTTTGTTATTCCGTGATCAACAAACGAACGGAGCGCCCCGCCCCCCCGTCGAGGGCTCACAACCGGCGCCGGTACCGAGCACACACGTAAACACGTCGGTAAACGGGAACGCCGCTCACGGGGCGCGGCGAGAGGCTCCCAGCGCCCCC